TGCTCCTATACAAAGTAGGATCTTGAAAGCATTCATGTCTCAAGAAAACAGTTTAGTACCAACAGCAAGAGGTGTTGGACAAGGGTGTGCATCAGCCATTCTTGTTTTAGCAAGTAATCAAGAATATATTTGGTTTGTTTGAGATGCAAACCTTGATCAGTTCGAGTGGCAACTGATCGTTCGAGTGGCCTCTATTCCAAGAAAGTAGTGAACTGATCCTAAAACTTTTAGAGAAATGAGCATCAAGATCTCTAGCCAGAGTATGAATAAACCCCTTGTTACCTCCAGTAATCAGAATATCATCAACATAGATGAGAAGATAAGTCATTTGGCTTCCTTCTTGAAGAATAAATAGGCTGGAATCTGCCACTGAGTTTCTAATCCTTTATCAACCAAAGCACCTTTAATTGTCAAACCATGCCCTAGGAGCTTGTTTGAGCCCATACAAAGCCTTTTCCAATTTACAAACATGTCCAGGAAATTCAGAATGCTCAAAACCCTCTGGTTGTTTCATAAACATTGTCTCTTTAGAGTACCATTCAGAAAAGCATTGTTTATTTCAATTTGCTGAATATCCCACCCATTAGTGATGGCAAAAGTAATAATTATGCGAATGGTGGATGGCTTAATTACTGGGCTGAAGGTCTCGAAATAGTCAAGACCTGAGTTTGCTGAAAACCTTTTGCCACCAGCCTAGCTTTGTATTTTTGGAGGGAGCCATCTGGTTATATTTAATCCTAAAAACCCATTTATTTCCTACTTGTTCATATTATCAGTAGGAGGTACAAGGGACCGGTTTTTTCTTGAGTAGCAGTAAATTCACTCTCCATTATAGCCTTTCATTCAGCAGTACTTAATGCTTTTGAATAGACCTTGGTTCAGAAACACTGAGAGATGGATGGGTTGACAAGTGAGCTAGAGGTAGAATAGTTTTAGGCTGAGGAAGACAGTTAGATTTGGTTCTAGTCACCATTGTATGATGTTTTGTGTGAATTTTGGAATATTAATGCAGTAAACTGTTGTGATGGATCAGGACAACTTCAAGAAACAGTTGTTTGTAGATTGAGAAGACAACATTGGGTAAGAGTAAAATCTACAACTAAGGGACAAGAGGATGTTGATTTCTGTGATGTGGCTGATGAATAAGGTTTCAATGTGTTGTTTCTGTACTGAGACTGATGAAAGAGAGTTACAGTGGTTAGGTGCAATTTGGTTTCTGAGGATGCAGAATGTGAGGTCAAATGATTCTGACCAATTGTTGAGCATGAACTGTTACGACCACAGGAAACTGCAGCAGGGACACTTCCATCAGTAGGATTTGTATAAGAAGGCCTTGATGATTTGACAGACAGAAAGGGAAAACTCCTAATGAGGTTGGTAGATGTAGAAGGTTTGAATTTTTTTGAGTAGAGTTAGAGACACTAAAATGATGAGCAAAAGGGAATTCTAACTCGTTGAATTTGACATTAGGAGTTATGTATACTTTACCTACTGAACTTAAACATTTAAACCCTTTGTGTCTAACTATAGCCTATGAAAACACATTTTTCAGAATGAAAACTAAACTTATGTTGATTATAATCTCTTAGATATGGATAACATGTGCACCAAACACTTTTAAAGTTGAATAAGAGGAGAGGTTGTGAAACAATTTGATAAGGTGAAATGAAATAAAGAACAGAAGAGGCATCATGCTAGTCAAGAAAACTGTTGTATCAAAAGCTTCCACCAAAACTATAAAGGCATAGAGGCATGTGCAAGTAGGTCAAATCAGTTTCAACTACATGTCTATGTTTTCTCTACTTCACCATTTTGTTGGTGAACATAAGCACAAGAGTGCCTAAACTGAATTCCAGCATTGGTGAGGTAAGAAATCAGACCCTTATATTCACCCCCTTGATCCGATTGTAAACACTTAAGCTTCAAACTGAATTGCCTTTCAACTAGTGATGAAACCTAATGAAAACGACCTAACTTCACTCTTAGTTCTTGAGGAAAGAGCTAAGTGAATCTACTATAGTCATCAATAATTGGACATAATATCGAAAACCTTCAAAAGAAACTTAAGGGGCGGTCCCCAAACATCACTATGGCTAACTCTAAAGGTGAGGTGGCTTTTGAGTGAGAAATGGGAAAATTGTTCCTATGCATCTTTCCTAATGACAAGCATCACAAAATGTTGGTAGGATGAATTACTTTGGGCAAAGTGATCATAATTTTCTTAAATACCTCATTATGAGGATGACCTAATATTTTATACCATGTGAAGCAAAAGTTCATTAGCATCCTAAGAGCAGAATGTGTCTAGCAGTCTAGTAGTTGTTATGTGCACAGCAGGTTGTATCAAATAATTAAAGTCCTTATCAAGAAAAGAACACATGTTTAGAAACAGTTTCAGATATAAATTGTCAATATCAGAATAGCAAGAGGCAAGGAAACATACAATCACAGGAGGAAACATCATGCAATTTGTAGTAGCATATTTAGTAATAGAATCAGATTTGGATTTCAATGAAGTAGTATACAAAGCATAACTTGTGCATCATCATCAGTGGGAAAACATTCAGACAAACAAATTTCAGAATTAGAATGCATATTCATAGAACTAGAATTAACAGTGGAATGTAAATTCACAAGCTAGCTCAGTGAAGAATAAATCTTTTTTGTTATTACTAGTCAATCTTTACAACTATTAGAAACTAATTCAACAGGATGCTCATCACTGTTCTTATTACATGAAGGAATATAGATCATCGACATTATTACATGAGGAGACTATGGACTGACTAGAATGTGTTTTTTCTAACACCTGGATTTAAGAGAAACATATTTATTCTCAATAGGAGTCCTAGTAAGTATTGATTTGCCTAAGTGACACTATATTGTGGATGAACTATCAGATGACATGAAGTGTTACAGACTTGGGTTTAATGGAAAAGTTGACAGGTTCAACTGATATAATCCAGCCTTAAGGTCTCCCTACAATAGTACCTGTTTGGTAGCATTGTCCTTAACCACACAACAAGCACAGAAAATTAACCACAACTTATTATCCTTAGTAATTTCTAAATGCTAAGTAAATTCTTGGTTATACGAAAACAAAGAGCATTTTTCAAATAAAGGATTTGGATTGTAAAGTACTAGCAAGAGGGAAAAACCAACATGAGATATATTGAGGAGTCACCACTGCCCACCTGAAGATGTTCAGGGCCATCATAGTTCTCTTGCACTCAATTGATTCAAATCAAGGTGACATAATTTGTTTGCTCTGTAATTATGAAGAATATAATTAATGCGACACATGCATACCTCTCATGAAGACAATGATAATGTAGAATATTCAAGCAATCAACCCATGTACGGTGAAACCGAAGACCCAAAGATAAATTTGTTCTCCAAAACTTTCTCATTGATTTGAATTGACTTTTAGTTTTACCGAAATTGTATTAATATTACTGTTTCTAGATTTGACCATACTTATTTATTCTCTCTCTCTCTCTCTCTCTCTCTCTCTCTCACACACACACACACACACACACACACATATATATATATATTCAATGAGTTATAATATCATCGACCTTATTTTTCTAAAATTATGATAAATTATTTGACTTAACCTCTTAAAGTTAATTCATGATATGTTCCTGTATTGTATAGTAACACACCTATTTGCCAGTATTCTAGAGCTTTAATAATATAGTTCATGGGGAAACTGAAACATTTCTTCTTCTTCTTCTTCTTTATATTGCTAATCTCTTCATGTGAAGGAGCCTTGGCTTCGAAGGTCGACACAGTCCGAGTGGGAGTAATTCTAGATTTGAATTCTAGTGTGGGAAGGATAGCATAGAGGTATATATCCATGGCACTCTCCCATTTCTATGCTGTGAACAATCATTTTCGAACAAACCTCACTCGTGTCACCAGGGATTCCCAAAATGATGTTGTTGTGGCAGCTTTAGCAGGTAAAGCCTTTGTTAATTCTTAAACTGAATTATGAATCACCAGTTTAAGTTAAATTATTAATTAGCTCAGAAAATAATATATTAAGTGTTGGTAAAAGATATTTGTATAAATTATAAGCCTAAAATCTAGTAGAGTAGATGAAGTGTGAGAGGTTAGCAATTATTGAAGAAAATAGAGTAGTTTATGTTGTGCGGTAGACGAAATTATTGAGTCAAGTATACGTATATAATCAATCTTTGGTGCGGTTTCTTTCCTAGTGATAATTAATGGTTAATTATCATTGACTAATTCTAAAAGGTAAAAAATTATCAGATTTTTTTTGTAATGGAAACTGTAAAAATTTCTATTTTTTTAGTATTTATTAGATATAGTCCAGATTGTAAAATTTGTCATATATATATATATATATATATCATAATTTAAATTTTGACTTAATTTTTCTTGTACTCCTTATAAAATATTTATTTTTATTCATTTAATAGTGTTGGGAGATATTGAGTTGACATTAACTATTTTTAACGTATAGTATTATTATTGCATTAAGTCTCTTTGTAAACACTTTTAGTTGTTTCTCAAAATTTTAATTATATTATTAACTTTTTGCAGCTTTAGATTTGATGAAGAATGAAAAGGTGCATGCAATCATAGGACCTCAAAAATTAGAAGAAGCTCAGTTCATAATCGATCTCGGAAGAAAAACTAACGTCCCAATCGTCTCATTTTCTGCCACAAGTCCCTCTCTTTCTCCCACCAAGAACGAATTTTTCATCCGCACTGCCCATGACGATTCCTTTCAAGTAAAAGCCATAGCCGACATTGTAAAATCATATGGTTGGACGGAACTCATACTCATCTATGAAGATACAAATTATGGAAATGGCTTGATCCCGTACTTAACCAATGCCTTGCGAGAAGTTAACGCTCGAGTACTTCATCAATGTGTCATTTCACCGGGTTCCGATGACAGTGAAATTCGGATGAAGCTCGAGAGTTTGAAAGAAAATTATGCGCAGACGAGAATTTTCTTAGTTCATATGACTGCTTCCGTCGATTCCAAGCTCTTTTTACAGGCAAAGAAATCAGGAATGATGGACGAAGGCTATGCATGGATCGTCACTGAAGGGTTATCGTCTTTGTTAGATCCTGTTCATTCCAAAGCAATCAATTCAATGGAAGGCGTATTGGGTTTAAGGCCGTTTATACCCTCTTCAAGGAAGCTCCAAGTTTCCAAATTGAAATCTTCAATTAAGGGACAAAACCTCTTCGGATTGTGGGCATACGACACTGTTTGGGCGGTGGCTGCGGCGGTTGAAAAGGCTGGCATGGCACATTCAGGCTTTACGATGTCGAATACTGGTGAGAATGAAGTTGATATTGCAGCGTTGGGAACATTTGAAGATGGCCGAAAGCTGCTTAACGCTTTGCTAAACAGAACATTCGACGGCGTAAGTGGAGAATTTCACTTGGTCAAAGGGCAATTGCAACCTTCAACATTTGAAATATTCAATGTCGTTGGAAAGCATGAGAGAATTATCAGATATTGGACTCAAACGAAAGGACTTCAGCGAGATTTGAATGATAATGGTAATAAGGCAGTAAACTCAAAGCTAAAGAACCCAGTCTGGCCTGGAGACAATACTATAAATCTGCCCAATAATAAATTCAGGATCGGGATTCCAGTGAGAAATGTTTTTACTGAATTTATCAATATGGAAAACGAAACTGATGTGAACGATGAGCATAAAATTTCAAGGTTCTCCTATGAAGTGTTTATGGTAGTATTGGATGTTCTGGAATTTTCCCTCCCGCATAAGTTCATCCCCTTCGGAAAAAATGGGACGATAGCGGGGACTTACGATGAACATCTCTATAAAATCAAATATCAGGTTGGTGCTGATGAATACTAAAAATAAATTTTCAGTTTTTTCAGTTACGACTGCTACATTTAATATTTTCCTTTAATTATAATCATACTGTTGCAGGAATATGATGCTGTAGTGGGGGACACAACAATTGTAGCAAACCGGTCAACTTATGTTGATTTTACGTTGCCCTATTCAGAATCTGGAGTGTCAATGGTGGTTTTGGTGAAAGATGATGAGAAGAAAGACTTCTGGATATTCTTAAAGCCATTGAGTTTGGATCTTTGGTCAACAACTAGCTTAGTCTTCATTTTAATAGGTTTGGTTATATGGGTTCTTGAGCATCGTATAAACACCGAATTCAGAGGACCTCCAGAGCATCAACTTGGCACAATATTTTGGTTCTCCTTCTCCACACTCGTCTTTGCTCACAGTAATTAACTTCCAAACTGATTACATTTCTTTCTACTACATAAAATTGAAAGGTTTATAATGGTTTATATTGAGATATTTTGGTTCGTTTTATTGTTAATGGAGATCCTTTTAGGAATTAGAATCAATTTTAGGTTATGAGAGTTCGGCATGATGGATGATGTACAATAGTTGTTTAAAAATATAATAGATCACCAAATCTATAATATTTAAACAAGTTTATGCTAATATTACAAGGGAAAATTTTCTCTTATCTATGGATGTAAGTAGGTTTTGTAATTTATATTTATATATAACCAATTTTAGGTAAAAAAATCCCACATTAAATATTGCGTCTGGTTATGTAATATAATTTATATTCATACGTAATCTCAATGTTTGTTATCACTTCTAGCATGTGATATCTTAGAAGTTTATTAAAAATAGTGTTTTTATGTGTGGTTTCAGGAGAAAAGGTGGTGAACAATTTGTCAAAATTTGTGTTGATTATATGGATTTTTGTGGTACTCATCTTGACACAAAGTTATACTGCAAGTTTAGCTTCAATGTTAACAGTGAAGCGGTTGCGGCCTTCGTTTGATGATGTGCAAGAGATCAGAAAGCATGGCTACTTTGTAGGATACCAGAATAATTCTTTTGTGAAAGATCTCTTAATGAAACAACTGAGATTTAGTGAAGACAAATTGAGGCCTTATAACACCCCAGAAGAGTATAATGTAGCATTGTCTAAAGGAGAGGTGGCTGCAATTTTTGATGAAATCCCATACATAAAGCTCTTCCTTAATAAGTACTGCTCCAACTTCATGATGATCGGACCTACCTACAGAACCGGCGGATTTGGCTTTGTAAGATTCTTTATCCATTACTTATTACACATGACTTTATTCATGTTATAATATTCAAACATTCAATTGTCTATAAGTTGGCCTTAATTTGTATCCTTGCTTCATATATAAGATATACATACATGGTTGATTAAAAAAAAATGCGAACTTCCACAATAGATTTATAATGGAGACATCCTAGAGTTGTTAACATGCAGACTATAAGTCAACGACTAATCTCTAACTTAGGGAAATGCAAAAAATCAAAGTCAGGGATACAAGGTGCAAAACTCAAAACCCATGTTTAGTCGTTAGCCTTTAGTTTGTACATTTAAAATTTCAGGATGTTCGCACTTTAAATTTCTCATATATACATATATTTACAATATTTTGTATGATCACTATAATTCCAATGAATTAATATGGTGATACATATCTTCTTGTTTCAGGCCTTTCAACAAGGTTCCCACTGGTTCCTTACATGTCAAGTGCAATTTTGAAGGTGACTGAAGATAAAGATACAATGGAAGCAATCGAGTGAAAGACTTTTGGCAGCAAACCAACTTGTGAAGATAAAAGTGCGACAATTTCTTCGGGTAGTAGTCTCAGTGTGTACAGCTTTGGGGGGCTCTTTCTAATCACAAGAGTTGCTTCCATTTCTGCACTCTTGCTACATCTCTTCAAGTTGGGAATAGACCAAGAAAAAGAGACAGGAACAACTGGCAAGGATTCAGATGGCAAGGATTCAGACGACGTAGTTGTAGATGTTGAAGCAGAGTTGGAGGAAGTATGAAATAGGAGGTCAGACTCATCAAAACTAACACTCTGACATGTATAAACTCGACCAGAAGGATCTAAACACAAATAACCTTTATGTTGAAGACTATACCCAACAAACGTACATTTAACAGTATGGAAATTAAACTTATGAGCACTATAGGGTCGAAGAAATGGATAGACTGCATAACCAAAAATCTTGAGAGCAGAATAGTTTGGAATAGTATGAAAGAGTTTCTGGAAAGGACAGAGATTATCAAGAACAGGGGACGGAAGTCTATTTGTAAGATAAACTGAGGTTTGAAACGCAAACCACCAATACTTCAGTGGCATACCAGCTTGTGCAAGAAGAGTTAAACCTTGTTCTACAATTTGACGATGCTTCCTCTCTACTCTCCCATTTTGTTGATGGGTATGAGGACAAGGATACCTAAAGATTATGCCATGATCCTTAAAATAAGAGACCAAACTCCTATACTCCCCTCCCTAATCAGTTTGGACAAATTTGACAGAGGCATTAAATTGTTTTTCTACTAGTTTGTGGAACTGAGTAAAAATGGTGTAATTGTCAGATTTGTTCTTTAGAGGAAAGATCCAAGTAAATCTAGCGTGGTCATCCAAAAATTGTATGTAATATCTGAAGCCTTCAGGGGAGGTGATTGGTGAGGGTCCCCAAAGATCTGAATGAATAATTTCAAGTGGTTTGGATGCATGAGAACCAGACTTGGGGTAGGTAGACTGATGTAGTTTGCCATACTGACAGGCTTGGCAAAATTTGATGTCTGGTTTCGCAAGATGAGGTAATTTTAGAGTTTTAAGAATGTTTGTGAGTACTGAAATGTTAGGATGACCAAGACGTTAATGCCATAGCATAAAATCAGTTTTGCAGGTTGGAAAAACATTCAATTTATTGCCAATAGAGGTATCAGTTACAACTGAAATTGAAGCAGACGGATTAACATGACCAATACAAGACTGATTATTGACAGAAATATTCAAAGGTGTACACTTATTGAAAGTGGAATACAATTTTTGAGTTGTAGACAGGATATCAACATTTTTATTAGAGACTCTGACATAAGGAACAAGACTGTTGCCGATGGACTTTAAGGAGATTGAGGGATCCAAAACTGCACTAGATGAAGAACACGGTGAATGAACTGGGACTTGAATGCGATAAAGTCCAGCTCTAAGTACCCCGTGAAGAAGAATGACCTAAGACATTTTGTCCTTAACCACACAGTGATCAGTAAAGAATTCCACAAGAACATCATTATCTCTAGTGAGCTTGGATACACTAAGTAAATTCTTTGTGATATGAGGAACAAAAAAAATATGTTTGAGGTGCAAAGTTTTAACAGGGCAGAGTAATGTACCAGAACCAGTATGAGAGATTGATAACAACTCACCATTACCAACCTGGAGTTGTTCATTTCCGGTGTAGGGAGAGCTTGTTGTAAGCTGTGAAAAATCTTAAGTAACATGATCCGTGGCTCCTGAATCCATATACCAGGCTGCATCTTGAACAAAGGTTGGTGAAGCAACATAATTGATAGTAGCAGGTGTTTGATTAGAAGATTGAGATTGTGCCATGAACACTTGATTAGATTGACTGGCATTATGAGCTATTGGCTGATTTGCAGTAGGTGTAGAAAGTGGACCAGCATTTGGCAAGAATTGAGTGTGGTATCCAGGTTGATACGATGGTAATGGTCCAAGAGATACTGTCTTGTGTGTAATGAGGAGGAGGAGGAGAAGGAGCAGAAGTGTAGTGTCCTTCTGTTAAAGATGCAGATGATCTCATAAAAACAGGTGGATTAAAGTTGCCTCTGACATAAGAATTATGTCCAGTAAAATTTACATCAAACCGATGATAGCAGTGTAAGGCAAGATGTCCAGCTTTTCCACAAACTTAACAAAAAAATCTGTTTCTACCTCCTGTACGAACTCTACCTCGGCCACCACCATATCCTCCAGAAAATTGATTACTAAAATAAGGTTGAACTGATTTCCAGAAAGATGTGGTGATTGATCAGGCTCAATTTTCTTGTTCTCATTCACCACTGAAACACTAGCAACATTAGCTGAACTACTATGAAACTCATTATGAATCATTGTGTTCATTACAGCATGTGATTTCTCCAACCTAAGTTCAAGTTTTTGTAAAACAATTTGAGCTTCCTGAACAGATATTGGATCAACCTTAGATTCCAGTCTGGTTGTTATATTAACCACGACAGCATCATACTCTGAATCCAAACCATCCAGAATATAGTTTAATAGCTCTTCATCAGTAATAACAACTCCTCTCGATGACAAGTTTTCTGCATAGTTCTTCATTTTTAAGAAGTAATCATGTATACTCATATCATCTTTCTTTGTGGTTTGTAAGAGGTTTTTAACATGAAGTGTCTTAGCTCTAGACTCAGTCAAGAATTCTTTTTCTAATGTCAGCCAAATATCAGTAGCAAATTGACACTTAGAGATCATGACAAACATAGATTCTAAAATTGATGACAACAGCCAGCTAACTAACATTTTGTTAGTTTTATTCCAAAGTAAGTATTCTGGATTAGGTTTTTTTATTACCTCTAATTGTGTACCGTCTAATAAAGCTTTCACGAAAGGAGCTGGACACGATATTAAACCAGTGAGATGTTCTTCAAGGTCGTGAGCTCCTACTACAAAAAGAATCTGCAATTTCCAGAAGCGGTGGTTGTCTCTCGTTAGTTTCGGTGAAATTACAGGCAATGTTGAAGATGACACTATAGCAGAATTGATAGGATTACTTGAATCAAAGGTGTGTTTGGAGCTCGACCTATTATCTATTTTGTGAAGAGGTGAAGGATTTTGTGAAGAGGTGAAGGATTTTGAGAGATATCAGCCATTCTTGACGTTTGTCCATGGCTCTGATACCAAATTAAAACACTAACAGAAAAAGCAGGACAGAGCAAAAGAGAGAGAAAATTCAGATCTGTATTATTGATGATGATTATTAATGATACATGCGTAAAGTGTTTTATATATACATGCGCATTGCATGCATTTTGCATGTGCACTGTAATAGAAATAAAACTAGCTCCCTGACACGTCATCTACAATCAACGGTCAGATTTCATTACTTCCTAACATCCCTTCATCAACAAAACGTCCACACTTCTTTACCTCACACTTCTTTACCTCACACTTCTTTACTTCTTCATTATGTTCTTTCATTACATTCTAACAGTTCACACTGGCCTGTCTTGAATGACCACCATCTTCACTCTGAACGATCCTTCCTAGCAAAGATCGTCGATTTGATAAAGCATTTTGACAAAAAGGATCACTCTTCATACCATTTCAATGGAAGTGAATCAAGAGTATATCCTGCACAAAATCTAGAAGCCAATGTTGTAACTTCAGTTCCTAATCATATTGTTGATATGCAAAACCATTAAAGGACTTTTTTCGAAGGAGGAGAGAATAATGATACATCTATTGATACATTGCACACATCTTAGACGTATAATGTAGTGATTAGATATATTCTCCATGTAAAATAGTAAATTATGTCGGGCATATGGTTGCAGATTATTATGTTTTATCTTTTTTAAGAGAGTAAACAACATTTTCCCTCCCAGATAATAATTTAATGACACTTTGTCACTTACATACTTTTAAAATATCACTTTAATATCTAAAATTATGTTTCGTTTCCGATTTTAGCATCGTTGCGACCCCACACCACCACCATTCTCTTTCCTGATCATCACTCACCAAAACTCGTCAAACCCTACTCCTATCGACCTTGCCAATTGTTGGTAATCGAGCGATTAGGTTTTGCACAATCACCTCTCCCAAGTCAAATTCCGATCAATCCCAACTACCAAAATCTAACCTTCCACCACTAAAAAACTCATCGGTCTCTTCTCTTCAAAAGCCCCAACAATCTGAACTAAGTTTGTTCTCTATTTGCAGTCGAATATATATTAATTTGGATATTAAAGTAGTATTTAAAAATATGTGGGTGGGAAAGTGTCATTAAGCCATTATTTGGGTGGAAAAAAGTAGTTAACTCTTTTATTCTATTATGAAAATTTTCTTAGTGCAAATGTCAGTAATTTAAAAAAAAAAAAAAATTAGACTTTTGTTAAATGGTGTGGTTGCGAATCAAACTTGATTTAGGGCTATGTGAGTTTGGGTTTTCTACTTACATTTGACTTCCTTGTTGCTGGTCAAATCTATTGGCCCAATTTTTGTTTTTAGCCCAAACTACGCTTGTATCGACACTGGACTATATATCGTCATCGATCCAGAAGAACCATGGCCTTAGAGCTTTAAGTAAGCTGAAAATTTCTTCTAGAAATTTCCAGGGTCCAAGTCTCTGAACATGAATTTGACTCATGTACTTGTAGACTTTATCCAGTAGTATGAATATTGCGCAAAATGCGGCAGAGGCAGACAATCGGTGTTGACAAATGAGAGAAATCTTGGTGGCACTGGACATTAGCTGCGTGTCAGCTACAAAACAGAAATATCAATGGCTTCATGTTCAAGATTCTATTGAATGCACAAAACTGAGCGATTCATTAATTGTTGAAATGCGGTGATGGTGATCAGCGATCAAGATAATGGGCTATTGTTGGTTCATAAATTGTCTGAGCCTGAGACACAATTAATTGCTCAGGATATCTTTATGGTCTTCTCTGGGCTCTGGCAAAAGTAATCACTTGGATCTCTCCAGCCACCAATAAGAAATATAAGGATAATAATAGTAGAGCTGCATTTTCGGTTTCAATGTACTTGTCAGGATATGGCAACAGAACTGTATCAGATTCTTCGGCTTCATTAATTCCTTTGTACTAATTTAACAGATGGTTTCTTGCCGCAAAGCTACGGAAACATGGATTCTTAAGCAAAGTATTAAAAAGAACGAGAAAAATATTATATTTCTTTGTACAGATGGGATTGTCTTGCCTTTCCCTGCAAGTTCTGTATTAGCATTTTCCAAGATGCACAAAAAGGTTTGTTTAATTTAGTTTTCAATACAAACTTCTATTGCTTTTGCACAAAAAATCTTCAATACATTGTAACTAGATCCGTACACACATTAGTTTGATGAGAGATTTTTTCTTTATTTGAATGTTTAAGTTTGTAACTAGATAGATTATCTCATGCGAGATTTTCTTTTTTCTGGAATCTTCCCAGGAATTAGTAATTTTTAGAAACTATAGGCCAATAAGAGTTTCAATAACCACTTTTATCAATAGTTGAAATAAACCGAACTTAAGATATCTTGAATAATACACTTAAAAGTCTAAATTGATTATTAAACCAAACTTAAGATATCTTGAATAATACACTTAAAAGTCTTAATTGATTATTTAACCAGCCAATAATTGTTACTTTTTAATGTTTATTTGCATCTGAATAATTTTTGTCAAATGAAGAAAAAAAAAAACTTTTAAATTGATGCTAAGAAATCAATACCCAAATAGCCTTTACACCAATTACTGAATATAAATTCATTTGAGTATAAATTCTATGCTAAAAATAATAACAATAATAATAAATAAATAAATAAGAAAAATGTGCTAGAATCTATAAAGTATATTATAATAAAATGGAATAAATACAAGTCAAAAGAATTATCTTGACGAATTATTTCAGTTAAAAGAGAAAAAACAAAAGTAGAAACACCAAACCAAGTTTCGAATATGATTTTAGAAAGATACATCATACACCCACTTTCTTTATAGTGGTGGGCCCCCGGAAGAATCAACGCGCGGACAGTTTTCAATGTACGTGTTATAAACGATATTGATGGTCATAATTACCCCTATTTTTTCACATATTTACTAAATAACCATATGCCCTATAAAGGGGGTGTTTGTCTGAGCTTATGAAAATTAGCATATAAGTAACAAGTGCTTATAAGCATTTGAAATTTTAAGCAATTACATGTTTGGTTAAAATACTTATAAGTGACTGATAAGTAGTTGACGTGTTTGGTAAAATGTGGCTTATAAGTATATTTTATGATAAAATGACTAAAAAAGGTACTACATTAAACAAGGGTATACTAAAAAATTTTAAAATTAAACAAGGATAATGTGGTAATATACTTGGTCAAACTAACTTATAAGCAGAGTGCTTATAAGCCAAAAAAAAAAAAGTACCTCCCCCCAACTTTTTTTTTTTTGGCTTATAAGCTCAACTTATAAGCTCAAAAAAGTTATAAACAAACATGTCAGCTTAATTTTAGAGCTTATAAGCTAGTTTGACCAGCTTATAAGCTTAGACAAACACCCCCAAGATTTGTGTCAATGTCACAAAACTTTAACAAATTTAAAAAACATTTTTTCTTGAAAGCTTAAATTTAAACTAATTGATTTGATAATTTTTTTAATTAATATCAACAAATTTGTGATATGATAACAAATCATTAACCTTAAACATAATGGTTTATGTTCAAAATTTCTTATTTAAATTAACAAATAAAAGATAAGAAATTTATTGAGAAAAAATAAGTTTATGATCATATTTGAAATTCTCGGAAGTTTTGTTAGTAATAATACAAACTTCAAGGAGATCGATGAAATTAACCCTAAGGGTGCGTTTGGTTTAGAGAATGTTATGTTATATTAATAAAAAATTAGATTACCTTGAAGCTCATTGAAAATCTGTAGAAAAATATGTTTGGTTAGTTACAATAAATTAGTGGATATATTATATTAGTATGTTTTGTTTGAGAGAATAAATTGGTGGATATGTTTTATAAATGACTAAATTGCCCTCATTTTTTAATATTAATATAGTATTATTTTTTTATTAATTTTTAAATAATTTGTTTGGCCCCAATATTTCATATTTAGCTAAAACGCCCCCATCTTATATAAAACTTTAACGTGTAAAAAAGTCATCTCCACCCACCACACGCCACTGCTGGCCCCTAACCACCACCGCCAGCTACTGGCTATCGCCTACCACCACCAAAAGTTGTTGGAAGTCGCCGTCAGTGGCCAATATGGCCAGAAAATGGCCGTAGATCTGGCCGAAAATGGCCAGATCTATTCTAGCCATCTCTTGCCAGATCCATGACCATTTATGGCTGTTAACGTCCATGGCTAAGGTAGGCAGTACTGTACTTTGGTATAAACAATTGTTTCTTACCATCTTTAAATGTCTATAAAAACTTGGCTTTATGCCTAGGTGAGTGTACCAAGACTAAAAGGTGAAAGGATGGGAGTCTTTGCTACACGTTCTCCACACCGGCCTTGCCCAATTGGGCTCACTGTTGCAAAGGTGCAAACTTTTGACAAGCATGAATGTTTCCTATATACTGATGCAAGCGTGTATAAATCTGTAGCTTTTTAAGTTTACTTAGGTCTCCATGTGGGGGTTTTACTTTTGTGAAACTCGGAGAAAGGGAATTTACCATGATCTTTCACCCAAATGCTTACAAGAAGGTTTAGGAAAACTAAATTCTATGGACGTTTCGTAATGGTTTGTTAGCAGCATAATGATCATCTTTCGGTATGATTGTAGCAATCAATTTTAAACTATATTGGTAGCGAGCATTCCTCAAAATTTTCTTTAAAATTGATTGGCTACATTTCTCTTTTGAAGGCAACAAATATTCAAAGTGTTTGTTTTGTTGAACTTGTAGTTGGCCATGATTGATTTGCTCAACCTTTATGAAGGATAATAGTCCATAATGTCTTGACTTACACAAACATGAGGTTTTTCTATCTTCGTGTGTGTGTGTGCAAGTGTGCGTTTTGCATTTGTATGTAGCTCTAGGGCTTTGTTTGGTAGGAGAGAAGTGTGGGATGGAAATATTATTTTTTTCTTTTGGTAATGATGGAAAGGATTGAAAATGGGGATGGGACACATTTTTCACCCCTATTGTCATTTCTAGGTCCTCTCAGATTAGACTGACAGGGAAGTGTTTACTAAAGAGGTTATAAATAAAGCCTTATATACAAATTGATCTTTCATCGCTTTGTTTTCATCTCTTTAATATTTCCACCCCTTCTACCAATTTGATCATTAAAGATTCAATTGGAAATTGTATCTAAATAAAACCATTCTTGATTTATGGCTCTTACAAAAGACAAAATATGCATGTAGAAAGGGTTATATATTAATAAGTATATTCTGTGTCCCTTAGGTGGAGGCAGTGTAAGGAAATATGGTTCTGTTATCTGGTGTGGATCTGGTTGATGGGACTGTAAGTTTTCCATTGCTTATGTTTACTACTCAAACTCATCTAGATAATGAACAGATTCGCCTGTTTGTTGGTTGTTGGTTTCAGCCAGAGATAACAAGAGAAAATAAAAACAGAGCACCGTAAAAGTTTTCCAAAAGAAGCTTATCATATTCATTGAAGAAAGATAGTATATAACACTTAACAACTCTCTGCTAATTACACCAACTACAGCAGACATTACAGCTTTCAAAATTCAAATTTCATCACACATATTACTTCTAATACACTTTACTTAAATACCCTTAATTTTCTAAACAAGTTATTACACAAAAACACTCCCATGCATGTTAAGAACACTATTGCATGTAACCGTCTGCATCTTCCAAACACAAACTTGCAGACTTGAGCATTTGAAACATTTCCAGCAAAGCATCACTACATCAACACTCCCCCTTGATGCACATGCTGGAAACACCAAGTTTGAGTCTAAGTTCCTCAAACTTGGTTTTAGGCAGACTCTTAGTCATAATGTCTGCAATCTGGTCCACACCCCGGCAGTGCAACAAGGTCACTTCTTCATCATTTTCAGCTTCCCTAACTGCATGAAATTTAATCTTGATATGTTTGGTTCTACCGTGGAGGACTGGATTCTTTGCCATTGTCACGGCTGATTGGTTATCACACCATATAGAGGTTGGCTTATCTTGATCTTGCTTCAAATTAGATAGGATTTTTCTGAACCAAACAGCTTGGTTCACAGCTGCTGCGACAGAAATGTATTCTGCCTCTGCTGTGGATTGAGCCACCGTGTCTTGCTTCTTTGACAACCAACTAATGGCTCCTTCATTAATGTAAAACACATACCCTGAGGTACTTTTCAAGTCATCCAAAGAACCTCCCCAGTCACTGTCTGTGTATCCCTGCAAAACCAGTTTTTCTGTCCTTTTAAACCAAATGCCAAGGTTTGAAGTTCCTTTCACATACCTTAACACTCTCTTTGCTGCTCTATGATGTGATTCACTTGGACAACTCATAAATCTAGAGAGATAACTTGCTGCAAACATCAGGTCTGGACGTGTGGCTGTCAAGTACAGCAGGCAGCCTACCAGGCCTCTAAACATACTCTCATCCACTTCTTTTTCACCATCATTTTTACTCAGCTTCAGGTTAGAAACCAAGGGTGTATCTGCAGGTTTACAATTCTCCATTCCAAAATTGTGAGAATTTCATTTGCATACTTTTCTTGATGCACAAATATTCCACTTTTGGACTGAAAAATTTGCATACCAAGAAAATATGACATCTCCCCCAAATCTGTCATCTCAAATTCAGATTGCATGGATTGTTTGAACATCTTCAATTGGTCTGAATTGCTCCATGTCATCAGCAGGTCATCCACATACAATGACACCACAATTAAATCACCTTCAGCTTCTTTAACATAAAGGGTATGTTCGTTTGGACTTCGTACATAGCCTAGGCTATTAAGGTGCTCATTTATCCGGTTGTACCAGGCCCTAGGTGCCTGTTTTAGGCCATACAAAGCCTTCTCTAGCAGGTACACCTTCACTTCTTCACCCTTTACCTGATAACCTTCAGGTTGGTCTACAAAAATTTCCTCATCTAAGTAGCCATTTAGGAACACAGATTTGACATCAAGTTGGAAAATTTTCCAACCAAATTGAGTTGCCATGGCAAGGATCAACCTTATAGTATCATGTCTAGCTACAGGAGCAAATTTGTCAATGTAATCCACCCCTTGTTGTTGTGCAAATCCTTTTGCTACAAGTCTAGCCTTGTGTTTGTGGATTGTGCCATCAGGATTTAACTTTAGTTTGTAAATCCACTTTACCTGAATTATCTTCTGTTTTCAGGTCTTTCAACGCCTCCATGTGTTGTTCTTCCAATCATGAGAATCCTTCTTGCATTCCATTCTTCCAAGCTCTGATCCAGCAGCTTCAGCATAGTGCTTGGTTCCACACAGCCACATTGCACCTGCATAAACATCAGCCCAAGGTCTTGGTCCCCGAAACTGATATCCTCATCTGCTTCAATTTCACCTTCATCAAACACATTTTCAATCGGCGCTGCCATGTTCCTGTCAACCTCAATCTGTTTATCCTCCCAATTCCACATTGCATTTTCATCTATCCTCACATCCCTGTTATCACAACTTCTTTGTTTCAGGAATATACACTCTGTAACCCTTTGATTGACTGCTGTACTGATGGAGAACCCACTTCAACTTTATCATCTAGTTTAGTTTTTCTTCACTGCTAGAACCATGACATAACTCACACTTCCGAACATTTTAAATACCCCACTGTAGGTTTAATTCCAGTCCAAGCTTCAGCTGGAGTTTGTGCCTTGACTGACTTTGTTGGCAGCCTATTCAGAGATGAACTCCAGTGTTTAAGCTTCACCCAAAAACACTCAGGAAGATGTTTTTCTACCATCATGCATCTAGCCATCTCCATGATGGTCCTATTTCTTCTCTCACAACTCTTTTGCTGTGGGGTGTATGGTGTAGTGAATTGATGCCTGATTCCAGCTTTAAGACAAATAGAACTGAATTCTTTTGAAGTTATTCAGTTCCTTGTCACTTCTAACACTTTTGATCCTTGCTCCAACCTCATTTTCCACATCAGTTTATACTTTCAAACACTGCAGAACCTCACTTTCAGCTTCAAAAAATACACCCATGTCATCCGTGTATAATCATCTATGAAAAAGTAGGAAATACTTGCTTCCACTCAATGATGCTGTCTGCATAGGACCACAAACGTCTAAATGGATTAGCTGAGTTTGTTGTTGCTCCCAGGACTGATCTGAAGGAAATGCAGGTCTACTCAATTTGCCTTTGACAAACACTGCAGAGGTATTCTTTTCTTCAATCTCTGGTAAGTCGGGATCTGTTCCTTTTCTTCAACTCTCTGAGGGCATTATAATGGTAATGTCCAAGCTGTTTGTGCCAAGGTTCTGACTCTTCTGTCTAGTTAAGAAGCAGATTCATTGGTGGTTTTCCACTCAACCGAAAAAATTTTTCTTAACATTTTTACCCCACTCAATTCAGCTCCTTTAGGATCAAGTATGGTACAAGCTTGGTTCTCAAATGTAATGAATAACCTCTCTCTAACATCTGCCCAACACTCAATAAGTTTTGGCTAATTCTAGGAACATATAACCATGAGAGATTATTTTGTACTGACCAAGTTGGACAAACAACACTCCCCATGCCTTTGACCTCCATGAACTCACCATTTCTATCTTTACTCTGGAGCAATATGATCTATCTATGTCACAAAATTTTGTAGGTTTGTAGCCATGTGATTTGTGCAGCCGTTGTCAATTAGCAAGCTTCACTGCTGTTTTGGTGCCGTGTACCAAGTGGCCACAAAAGTTGTTCAGCCTCCTGACATTGTTGCTGATCCTCTCCAACTTTTGCTTGTTGTATTGGTTGGTTTGCCTTTTTCTTGCACACCCTTTCAATTGCCCAATTGCTACAACTCCGTGCACTGTATACTAGGCCTGACCACATCTCTCTTCGGTGCCCTTTCTTTACAGTGAGTGTAGGCTGAAATTCCTTAACACCACCAGGTCTTTCCCATGATTGCTACTCTCCTTTCCCCTTCCTATCCCAGCATACTTTTGTCTGTGCTTGTGTAGGTTGCTTTTGTAGCGCAACTAAAGCACCTTCACTAGTATCTTCTTGCCTCAAAAGCCTTCTTTGCTCTTGAGCTTGGAGAGCTGGAACAACAGCTCAACGTAATTTGAGTCATGTCTTTAGAGTCCTCTAAGGAGGAGATTTTGGACTCAAATCTCTCCGGAAGAAACTCACCAAAACCTTTTTCACAACCCTAAGATCATTCAACTCCACTCCCAAAAGCTGATTTTGTTGACAACATCATTAGTCTATCAACATAATCCTTTACTTTTTCAGTTTCTTGCATTCTTGCATCTCAAATTCTCTTCTTAGATTAAGAATCTGTATTTCTTGTTGTAGTGCTCCCCATGTACCTTCTCTCAATTATCCCAAGCTTCTTTGGGATTTTTCGTATGCCATGATCTTGTAAAAACAAGATCAGTCACAGCACATGTATGTGAGAAAGAGCTCTCGAAGCTTTGGTGTTTCTTCCTCATGCAACCCAGCTAGTTCAACGTGGGATTCTGTCCAAGTGGTGGTGGCTGCCGGTTTTCTTCCCATATTGCCACAGTCCCTGCCACGAAGGAAGCTTTTATCTTTACTGCCAGATGTGGTAATGTTCTCGTTGAACATCGGTGGAGCCATCATTGCAGATTGCGTTGCCATGCCCCTGTTTTTCGTGTCTGTCGCAAGAAGAAGAAAGAACAACCACATGTCTATCGTTTTAAGATTGAAGATGGTTTTTTGGAGATGTGATCGAAGGTTTACAATGCCAAGTTTCTGGATTTTGTGGTGGCTCTGATACCATTTGTTGGTTTCAGTCGGAGATAACAGAGAAAAATAAAACAGAGCCACCGTAAAAGTTTTCCAAAAGAAGCTTATCATATTCATTGAAGAAGACAGTAGATAACCTTAACAACTCTCTGCTAATTACACCAACTACAGCAGACATTACAGCTTTCAAAATTCAAATTTCATCACACATATTACTTCTAATACACTTTACTTAAATACCCTTAATTTTCTAAACAAGTTATTACACAAAAACACTCCCATGCACGTTAAGAACACTGCTGCATGTAACCGTCTGCATCTTCCAAACACAAACCTGCAGACTTGAGCATTTGAAACATTTCCAGCAAAGCATCACTACATCAACATTGGTTATAATTTGTCTTACTGTGAACTAAGTGCATTTATGTCTGCTGTTGATGATTTTAGTTATTAGGTCATGCTCATTCTTTATGCTTTATCAACAGCCAATACTCGATATCAAACCGTATCTACCATACTGTGACAGCATACATGGAGCAGCAGTGCCAGAGTGGGTAACAGTATAATATATACAATCCTTTAGGTTTAATTTTTTTCTTTTTATATATATTGGAAGCTATGTATTTGAATGTTATATCTTCCTTGTCGTTTTCGTGCTTTGTTATTCCCAATACTCTTAAAAGGCGCTGCTTATAATTGGGATATAGATCTTTGATATCCAGGGGTTTACAAACACATTAGACTTGGCCCTAGGTGGCTGATTTATCTACAGCTGACATATCCTGCTTTAGATGTATTCTGGTTCATAAATTGGTTTAAAACTATTGTGAAGCGTTCATAAATTAGTTATTAAGAGGAGATATCATGTGCTTTGACAAGCTGTTGCCATTTTTTCCATTTCATTATCTGTTATTCATCATTATTCCATGCTGCACATGAACTGAAAATCTCAGGCAAATATGCCTTAGAGGTTATAATAGATGAAGTAGAGAAAGGGGGTGAGGGTGGAGCTAGTGTTGGGTTCAGTTTGACGTTTGGTGTAGAATTGGGCAGGCTGTATCCCAAACCCACCTTTTCTTTCTCTTAAACGTTTTTGTTGAAAAGATATATATCAATTTCACGACCTTCACCTCTTAATGTGTTCATCAAAGCATGTACTGGTTTTGCTTCTTTTTTGTGTTGGAGGGACAACTTTCATAGACTTAATTATCTGTGTGATATTAGATGAATCATCTCTTTTTTCCTTTTCATTCTGAATAATTTGCATTTCTTTTTTCTTTTTCCAAAAGGTAGACAGTGTATTGGGTAATACTTCAGATTTGGATGACGACCAAGATGAAGAGCAAGTTCCTATTCCTTCTGAGAACATACTTTATCATCTGATTTTGGAAGGACTGGATGTCTCATATAGAATTGATTGCAACAGCAATGTCATTGTCGAAAAAGCAAAAATTTCATCCGAATTCTTTAGTAGTAATAGAAGTCGGTGTAACTACTTAATGTGGAGAGAGCAACTAACTTAATTGATTCATTGTTTTGAACGCCTGATGTACTTCCAAATTCCAATGTATAGAGTTCTATATGCTGCTTTTGAAATAGAGATATCTTTTTATAATGTGCCACCTTATGGGGCTGGCCATAAATGCAATCTAGTAACTGGAATCATCAAAAACTGCTCAAGCTTTATCATAGTAATGTAATTGCTATTAATTAGTGTAATAGCATTTCAGAATCAGTTTACATTAATGGGTGATTATTAATGGCACCACCACTTTTGTTTGGATCATTACAACAAAGAAATCAAGTAAAAAAGAGTTCCTCGAACCGAAGTTGCCAACATGCTTTAGGAACTGGATAGCAGTATGGCTTGGTGGACCTCAAAACCTTAAGAACAAATGGAGTCCTGATAAGGATGTACTTGGAGAAGAAGCTTCAACCTTCATATGTGTTATGCCTAAAGAATACAGGGTTGACGTAAGGTCCAGTCAGTATACAAAAGTCAGAGCCTGGGTATACCCGCAGTCGAGTCACGTGAGGAAAGGAGCAGCATGCTCTTATCAGCACAATGGGTGCGCGTCAGACCAGCTAGGAGCTGGAAAGCTTCCACATGTCCAAATTCCTACACCAAATCGCGTAAATCACTCTGGAAGGTGGGCAATGTGATGTAAATGAAGATTTATACGGATAATCCTACCAACTCAAAGATTCAGTAATGATAACCTTAATCCATCCTACTATAAATTGAGTGCTCCTCTCTCATTTGGGGGATTCGATTATTTTACCCTTGATTAGCTACTCTCTCTTAAGAAGATATAGCATTCACTCTCTCAAGAAGATATAGCATTCACTCTCTTGTATTATCATTTGTAAGTCAGTCCGCTGACGTGACCTGACCTCTATCATTAATACAAACATCAGTGGACGTAGAACTTGCTTCCTTAGCATCTGAACCACTTTAAAATCTGTTCCCATTATGTTTACTCTCATTTTCTTACATTCACGTGTGTCTTCTGGGCTAGTTCAGCATTTCACACGTGCGTTTCGTTGGTGTCAAAATCATGCATCAATAGTTTGGCGCTAGAAGGAGGGCATGATTTAGTGTTCATCCTTCATCAGGAGAATCTCTAACTTATGGGTCCTACAACAGCAAATGACCTGCCAACCTGAACCTAAGCGAACCAACCAGGGTGCTGAGGGGATACCCCAAGTCCAGGAGGACACCTCTTCCAAAATACCTTCGGTTCCACAAAATGCCGCGGGTGGTATCCCATCAAGTTCACAACTTAACCCTGCCATTAGAAGCTACCTAGAGAGGTTTGACAATACTCTCTAGACGGTCAACCAAAGGTTAGACCGTTTGGACCAAAGCGTGCCAACCAAATCAGCTAGGGCAGTGCAACCGCCAAAAATGCTTGCAAGTCACCCGAAAGCATGAAAAAAGGAGATAGCCCGTGCCACAAGCACTGTAGCGCGTCGAAGAAAGGGCAACCAAGTGGCGAAGAATGGGCCTAAAGGCTCCAAAGGGCCAGCGAACACTGACCACGTCCCGAGTAGAATACTTGTGGCGTTGAGACTCGGTGAAAAGTCACAAGCCGAGTCGTCCCATGCCATGTCGCATGCACACCCCCATAAAAGTGCTGGGCGGGGCGATTCTTATCACCACCAGCAAGACGACCCTAATCGTCATCGTGCGGGAGGTTCCCACACTTCGCAGGGCGGTTTGTGCCACCGCAAAGGTTGTGACAATTCCTCGCACCATTCATCGCCATCACACGGCTTTAGCCAGCATGTGTTGAGGGTGGCCAGAATTGTCGGTCGAGGTGAAACAGAATCCGACCTCCAGACTGGGACGTCTAGCTGCGACCTCCCAAGTTGATCGCCCTTAGATTCGGTCTTTAGCCTCAGGTGAACAGCCGATGGCTAAGAGGCCCTCGCAAGTCGTATTGGTGCGTCCTCCAGAGGTTAAGGCTGAGAAGTTCCGGAAGGTCGTGCCGGGGAGCCCGATGAAGCACCTTCAGCCGAGGGACAGGCAGGAGCAGCATCGGTAGACCTGGCAGTCCTTGCCCACGAAAAATTGAATTGCCTTTGTCGTGGCGGCTTTGACTCCTTCGGAGGCATGGTCTCTGCATGCGAGCATCGTTAGCAAAAATAATTTATTGCATGACTAGAAAAGACCTAGTTAGCAAGACTTACGCAATGGGGGATCTAAGGATGCGTTTGCATTGAAGAAACCGTATTTTCGCAGATTCGAGGTCGTCATGAGCTTCTTCGCGACTAGCTTCGAGCAAGGAGCCCAAAGCTACAATCCTGTCTGGATCGAAGAGCAGCCTTAAGTCAGTCGACTTGTTAACTACCAGAAAGAAACAGGTTGTTAGGAAAAGAATGCACTTCAAATTTAATGACTTTGCCAAGGGAAAAGAACTTACTCCGATCCTGAAAGCGACAATGGACGTTATAACGAAAGAAGAAAAACTTCGTTTCGTAGGCCCCCGCGTTGCTAGTGTAGCTGTGTATCCCCGCTTCTATAGTAAGTCACCTAGACAGGTAATAAGAATCCTTGTGCTTGCTCTTTTTCAAGTAATACGAGCAGCCGAGCTCCACCGTTGTTAGTTTGCCCAGCCCATTCTCACGACATGCGATGTACATGGCAACAACAATCACATACGCGTTCAGCGTGAGTTGCATCGGCGTGATCCTAAAGTGATCTAAGAACGACCTGACAAAAGGGTGGAAGGGAATCAAACTCCCACCCTTGAAGATCTCCTCGGAGAACGTGACCATCCCACTTGATGGGTATCGCGATGAGCGAATCCTATCGCGGAAAACTTCCACATTGACACCATACTATTTTATCACCCTCTCAAGCTCTTCCCCGATAAGTACCGAGTAGGCCTCAAGAGTGACATCCGGAGCACCCTACTAGGATGAATCAGTTCCTTCCCCGGATCTGATCGTTAAGGGGTCCATTCTACTGGTCCGCAAAAGCGACAAGCATAGGGCTCATTTAGCCATTGTACGCTATTCCGTACGATGATGTGGAAGGAAACAAACTCCATAAAACCCAGAGAAAACCCTAACAAAATGATTCGAGCTGCCATTCATGGCTCGAACCTGACATGAGCGTCTTGTCTCCGATTAGCTACCAGAAGACTAACACCATTTACCAACCACGGGGAATAAGAAAATAAAAACAGAAAACAATTCTTACTTCTCGGAATACGACAATGACTCCTTCTGCTTCAAATATCAGAAACACGTTGATTTGGAAGGCAAAGATTCCAAGCTTGCGAAAGTCTCTTGCTCTCTCTGGAAAAGACGCAGTGTGGTGACATTGCCTGAGATGGATCTGAGTTTTTATAGCAAAGGAAATGACGCTCGGTTTTCTTGAAATCAAAACAATGTTTGGGCAAAAAATATCTCACCATTGATCACAACCACGTGTTGCAGATCAGTGAGGAAGAGTGACCGTCACGATTAAAGAAAACCAAACCTTCATCCTTTTTCATTGAAAAACTCAAGCGACGGCACTCTATCTCTCCCTCAGCATTAATTGCACCCCAATATGCATTTAATGCTCTGATAAGAGGTGCTGTTTTAGCATGTCATGCATTTAATGTTCTGATAAAGGGTATCGTGTCAAGCATACTAGGCATTTAATGCGTTTGGTTAGCAATTATCATGCGCAAGACTAGTCTGTTAGGGCAGAAGCTGCTTCATTAAATGCATCCATATCGAAAGTACAATAGGTAACGCTTGACAAGGTCAGGTCGCTCATCCTTAACAAGCAATGACCATGCGAGGTTGTGTTCGCAAAAAGCGCTACCCCGACTTCCTTTAAAACAGGTCGGAATCACCAGAATTTTCGGAAAGCATCCAGTCGCGACATGAATTATAGTTTCCAAGGTTCAACCTTAAACCTTAAAAACTAGGGGACTTCTGTTATGCCTAAAGAATGCATGGTTGATGTATGGTCCAGTCAGTATGCAAAAGTTAGAGCCTGGGTATACTCGCAGCCAAGTCACATGAGGAAAGGAGCAGCATGCTCCTATCAGCACAGTGGGTGCGCGTTAGACCAGCCAGGAGCTGGAAAGCTTCCACATGTCCAAATTCCTGCACCAAATCGCGTAAATCACTCTGGAAGGTGGGTAATTTGACGTAAAGGAAGATTTATACGGATAATCCCACCAACTCATAAATTCAATAATGATAACCTTAATCCATCCCACTATAAATTGAGTGCTCCTCTCTCATTTGGGGGATTCGATTATTCTACCCTTGATTAGCTACTCTCTCTCTCAAGAAGATATAGCATTCACTCTCTTGTATTATCATTTGTAAGTCAGTCCGATGACGCGACCTAACCTCTATCATTAATACAAACATTAGTGGATGTAAGACTTGCTTCCTTAGCATCCGAACCACTTTAAAAGTTGTTCCCATTGTGTTTACTCTCATTTTCTTACATTTACATGTGTCTTCTAGGCCAGCTCAGAATTTCACATGTGCATTTTGTTGGTGTCAAAATCACGTATCAACAATATACATCTTGAATATAAAAACCAAGAACACATTGAAAGTCTAGCTTTTGAAGTCAATCTCATTTGTACATGATGGAAATCCTGTCATATCCCAACCCTTTGATGCCTACACACTGCAAACAAACAAACAAACAAAACCTGCCAAGCACATCCTTATTGCCATGAACAAGATGGATTTGGTTTTGCATCTTGGTCAACACAGAGACTTGGATCTAAAACAAAGATCTTCTACTTTCATAGCTTCGATAATCGGCAAGCTCCATTGGTGAAAATAAACAGCATCAATTTCTAACTAATAAATCTCCAAGCAATCCCATGTGCTCAACTGTTAAATTTGTTAGCTGACAGATAAGGTCTGATCTAATTGTTTCCAAACACAACATTGTGTTTTGTTTTACTATCTATAATGAGCTAAAACACCTTATGACTAATTTTAGACAACAATTTTTCAAGTGCTTCAGATGCAAGAGGGATAACAAACAGCCCTGACCATCAGAATGCC